TGCACTTTTTCTTTTTGGAATTTTCAGTGTGAACGCACTACTCGCACTATTTATACTACTAAACGTCATAGAATAGTGCATAAGTACACGATTTGGGACGCACCGATTGTTTACATTAGAGTGCTCGTCCTACTACGCTGGAATTAATACGGGGAGCGGCTGGAAACTAGCGACCTCTCCTGGTTGGAGATAGTATTAACATCATAAACTGAAAGCAATCTTTACTTGACTTGCTTTTCAAATGTTTTAAAATTGATCATCTGAGTCAAATATGATCCAGTGGGCCGTACTAAAAGACACTGCGGGCTGCCATTGCCCATGCCAGTTCTAGGTATTATCAAATGGCCAGAGTTTTGAGATCGCAGCAGACATGGAGGACTCTAATGCGATAAGAGCTTGCTAAAGTACTGAGGAGCTAAACCATTCACGGCTTTATAAGTAATTAGCAAGATTTTAAAATGTATTCGTTGTTCAATAGGGAGCCAGTGAAGAGTTGACAGAACCGGGCTAATATGGTCGTACTTCTTGGTTCTGGTAAGAACTCAAACTCCAGCTGGTCCAAAATGCAGCAGCTAGTTTATTAAGCGCACAGAGCAACCACCCAATAAAGCATTACAATAATCTAATCTTGAGGTCATGAACGCATGAATTAATGCTTCTGCATTTGACATTTAGAGCACGTTAGAGATTTTTTTAGATGGAAAAATGCAGTATTACAAATGTTAGAAACATGGTTTTCAAAGAAAAGATTGCTATCAAATAGCACACCTAGGTTCCTAACTGATGACAAAGAATTAACAGAGCAGCCATCAAGTGTTAGACAGTATTCTAGTTTATTACATGCAGAGGTTTTTGGTCAGTAATTAACAACTCAACTTTTTTTTCAGAATTTAGAAATAGAAAATTACTAGTAATCCAATTTTTTTTTCTTCAACTATGCATTCTGTTAGTTTTGTGAATTGGTGTGTTTCATCAGGCTGTGAAGAAATATAAAGCTGAGTATCATCAACAGTGAAAACTAACACCATGTTTCCTGATGATATCTCCCAACGATAGCATGTACATGGTGCAACGGTCTTAGTACTGAGCTTTGTGGAACGCCATACTGTATTTGTGATTGATATGATGCCTCTTTCATTTACCGCTACTGTAACGGGGCGACAGAGACGTGAGACGTGTGGATCCATGTGCAAGCTTTATTCTGAACAGAAGACAGAGACGTGGTCATAACAGGCAGGGTCAAACAATGGCAATACACACTAATGATGGTCAGATAAGTATGATTTCAACCATGCCAATGCAATTCCACTAATGCCAACATAATTTTTGAGGTTATTCAAAAGAATGTTGTGGTTGATAGTGTCAAAAGTAGCGCTAATAACATCCTGACTTGTAACATAATGATTAAATTTATAGGGGAATGTTACAAATTATGTATGTAATTGTCTCTTATTGGAATAAAGGCTTACAGAAAATGGGGACTTTTTTGTAATAGGTCAATTTATTGTTGATTATCTAGGTATCAGATACCTCATTTGGTTGGGAGGGACTTATTCAGAATAAATAGAGCATAATTTCTGAGCACAATCTTAGTCAGCTAGATACTCTTCATAGACTGCTGGTGTGTATTAATTTTCATATCTAGATTAGCACATTTTTTGTTTGTAATGTTTTGTCAGGGCATAATATTCCTCATGTGAATAATATATTGGATAAATTATAAATCTAGCAATTGTTTAGCAACTAATATTTATAATACTATTTATTTATTATATAAAACATATTATTTTGTTTAAAAGCAGATAACTTCTGAATTGTGAAGGTCTTCTGTGAGATTGATGCATTGATGGATTCCAGGTGAGTTGAATGTTTATGCACTCTCTACAGCAGGTGAAATTATGATTGGAATGGGAAAAAAAAGTACAGTATTTAAACAATTTCACTATAAATTTGCTAAACTCTCTGCACAAAACTTTAAACCGATCACACTTGTAACAAAGCTCTTTGTTGAAAAAGACTTAAAGTAGCTGTGCTACTGTTCTTTAATTATTGTTGGATGTTTCCTATCACAAAATCACAATATCAGTGTAAATGTCATGTTCTACACTAAAACACAACATAATAAACCAAGTGAGTTTGTTGATAATTAAGTGCTGCTAGCTTAAATTATATTATCAATATTGATTGATTGATTGATTTATGTTTAATATACATAAATGAAAACATGCAATTGAAAAGTTTTTATTAACTGCATTAAAAACTTGACAATTTAATTAGGTGGCAATTGATCAATCTATCAAATGGACTATATGCCGTTTCTTTGTGTAAATGAGGACGAAAAATTGAAAAGTATTCCTTCATATGCTGAGATTATGTTTTTATGTTTTAATCAGGATGGCCATACGTGTGATTTTGTTACTAACACTTTTTACTGGGCTGTGTGTTGCTAATTTGAAAGGTACGTTTAGAATAATAATAGTAAAAATGCCTGGATTTAAAAATCTGTAATCGTTGTGTCTTCATATTACATATCAATCAGATTAAATTATTAAAATTATATGGTAATTGAAATCTTGTGATTGATTGATTTGATTGTATTGCTTTGAAGCTGTCTTATAATTTTTTTTTTTTTAATTGACTGTACAGGCAATATTGCTCTTAATGCCAGGGTGGTGCAGTCCTCCTTAGGCCACTCACAGGGAGATGCTGAACATGCAGTAGATGGAAACAGAGACGCAAATTACGCGAAGGGCTCATGTTCCTACACTAAAGCTGAGTTTAACCCATGGTGGAGAGCTGACCTTGGAAACATCTACAGTATAAGCAAGGTTGCCATCACTAATCGTGGAGACTGTTGCAAAGAGCGACTCAGAGGAGCTCAGATTCGTATTGGTAACGAGCTGGAGAACAACGGAAACAACAATGAGCTGTAAGAAATGTTTCAAATGTTTTATCATCTTCCGATGTGTGTGATGTTTGATCTAGTTTAACAAAACGGGAGGCAAAATTTAAGTACAGTTTAATTGATTTTTTTAGACATGTACATTGTGTTCAGAGGCCTCTGGTTTCCATTTTAACACTGTTCTTTATGTATTTGCAGGGCTGCAACTGTTCTCACTGTTCCTAATGGCACAGTAGCGTTTGAGTTTGAGCCTGTTAACGGCCAATATGTCAACATTTTTTTACCTGGGAACGATGAATACCTTACTCTGTGTGAAGTCGAGGTGTTTGCAGGTGAGGGACAGAGAGAGAAAGACAACTCTGTGATATAATTTGTTTATGTACTTACTAATGTGTGTATTTTATTAACAGAAAAGGACAAACCATTGTACACTTGTGTTCCAAGTGAGTGCTCTTCATTATTGTGAATGTTGTCAGTAACACATATATGCGACCCGTGCTGGCCAAATTAGTCGGAATGAGCAAATTTTCAAAAATGAGTTCTCTTCATTTTCACATTCTACATTAAAATACCTTCAAAATGATATATAACCTTTTGGAATCTGACAAAAAAAAAAAAATAATGACTGGGCTACAGCCGTTTAAATGCGATAGAGTCAGCAAAGTCAGTTTTGAGATAAATCAAGTTAAAGTTTTCTAAAGGTTCCAAAGCAAAATCAGAGAGCAACATTGCTTATTTTCCTCCAATTCTTTTCTTAATAATAATTAATGCTGCGCTTTGCAGCGATATATCCTACAACTTGTGGTGAGAAGCAGCAGCAGTCGTCCAGAAGTGAGCAGAGAAAAAGGTACTTCCCTCAGAAAACATACAAATAAAGATCATTTTAGATGTCTAATTACTATCTGAAGCATTGGGATCACTAGAAGAGGGCTTAATGAACTCATTTTTGTGAAAACCTCAAATTGACATTTTTTCACTACTTTTGCCTGTAGCTCAATATTAGACCGTACGCATTCACACTCATTTTGCCAGCATGGGTCACATATAATATTCTTATTGAGCATTTGCTAACCAATAAGTGATAATGTACATCCAGACAGTAGCTATCACAAAATATCCCCGGCTAATTAAATAAATAATTTTGGACACGAAATATTGATTTGAGTTAAAATATTTGATTAGCTCACTTGTAATAAACGCAAAGCTTGTGTGAAGAACAATAGCTCCTAGCAAGACGAGTGACCACTTCTATTTATACGAATACCACTTATTACATGGCTTTTCACCAAACACATAATTACATGGGCATATTGATTTGAGATGAAACTGTTTTAAATTAAAGTTAAGTTATTGTCTGTCATTTTATGTTAAACAGGGAATCTTGCTCTTGGAGGCAAAGCTGTTCAGTCTTCCACATACAGTGATTTAGGAGCTGCTCAAAATGCTGTCGATGGCAACAGGCAGTCAAGTTACGCACTCGGCTCATGCAGCGTGACTAACGGGGACATGAACTCCTGGTGGAGAGTTGACTTGTTGGACGTCTACAGGGTAACCAGGGTTAGCATCACTAATCGTGGAGACTGTTGTGAAAAAACTGTCGAGGGTATTCAGATCCGTATCGGCAACAGCCTGGAGAATAACGGCAACAATAATGAGCTGTAAGTGCTGTCTCTCTCTTAATACTTACACAAATTGTTAGAAAATGAGTAAATAAGATGAAATTACTTTGAATTAATCATTTTAATACAAACTTGCCTTTGACAGAAGTATATCTGATATGCCCCTCTCTTTTTCTCTGTTTCTGTGTGTCTTCACAGGGCTGCAATTGTTGGGCCCATCCCACTTGGAAACACCAAAACATTTGAGTTTAAGCATGTTATGGGGCGATATGTCAACCTTATTGTGCCTGGACGCAATGAATACCTCACACTGTGTGAAGTTGAGGTATATTCAGGTGAGAGATAAACGGAGAGAGACATGGTGTCTAGAAATTTGAATGTGTATATATGTAATATGTGTATGCAGCCTTAATGATTATTTTGTATTTTTTCTGATTTCATTGCTAGATTAAGTGGAACAAGATGATGTTACACCACAGTCCACTGATCTTCTGAAACTACTGTTTTCTGAGCAATACTAATATTGCACCTCTTTTTCATTGTTTTCATTTTACTTATGCACCTTGATCCTTCCTCCAGGGGATTTGTATTTACACCTTAAACACTCCTATTATTCTTTATCTTTGCTTTCTACATTAATAAATTACTACAGCATTGCATGTTGTATTGCATGTTTCTGAATCAAAAAATAATTTGGATGTTTACAGTGAGGAGGAGGTATAGAAACACATACCCGCTTCCAGTTTTAACAGAAGATATGCACAGATGATTGGAGTCTGTTTGATGAATACTGTACTTACAGGGTTTTAAAAATAGGCTAAGGAAAACCATAAATTAACAGGGTTGCAAATTTATCCTAAATTAAGCTCTCAAGGATGCAGGAAAAGTTGTGTGAGGCAACAGATCATATTGCAACAAACTTTTATCAATTATTTTAGCACTTTCAAATATGACAATTTAAATTAATTACATTTATTTATAAAAATACACATGTACATATGCACACAAACAAATGGTAATTTATATTTATTTATATAAGTGTATTATGTAATCATAGGCTACCTCAAACTCTAATATGCATGACTCAAGTTTCATGTTCCGAATCCAAATGCATTTTGTCAAGTGAAGTGAAATTAAACATGTGTCCTAATGAGGGAGTAGGGAGCATCTTAAAGGGATAGTTCACCCAAAAATGAAAATTTGCTGATTTACTCACACTCAGGTCATCAAAGATGTAGGTGACTTAATGAAAGTCAGCAACTACTGGTTTTGAGAATAATAATAATAATAATAATAATAATAGAAAGTAGATCAGGCAACACACAATGAATACCCGTGGCTCCTGATGATATATTGATCTTATGAAGTGAAACAATCATCTGTGCAAGAGACTGAACATTATTTACAACATTATTAACTGTAATACAGAGCTTCAGGCAAACGGTCCGGAGTGATGTGCAGTTCATGAACAAATCATTATTTTGAAGCGATTCTTTTTAGTGAAAGAATCAGTTGACCAAGTCGGACTGAACCGTCTGAAACAGTTTGCGGCTCAAGCAGCACGTTACTCAATCAACGTTACTCACTTTCAGACATCCTACAGTCACTCTGACTGGAAATGAGCCAAAATACCGCCGCATCTGCTCCTGTGATGATTGAACTCATTCAGAGCTCCAGTTCCTCCAACAGTCACCGAACTGAGGAAATGGTGCAACTCGGACCGAAGACTGATATGTGCATGCATGAACCGAGCACTTGATTGAAGGACCAAATTAAAGTTTTTATGGTTTCTCATGGTTTATGTGTAAAAAAAAAAGTGTTTCTGTATGTTACATCATTGCGTGACTGCATAAACAAACCAGTTCATTGAAACAAACTGTCTGAAAGAACCAGCTTCACGGAAAAGAACAAAAGGATACAGAGCAAACAAGAGCAAATAATCTATGCTATTCAAGGATAATACAGTTTATATGTGTGCGTGTGTGTGAGGCTTTACAATTCATTTGAATAGTTTGATTAGTACCTATGTGTCATTCGGTGATTCCAGTACTGCGGAGTGTTGAACACAATGTGTGCTATAAATCTCCACACATAAAATGTAAACTCACCCTGGTGGGATTATTCTGTCTCATCCTTAATTTGTAGTTTGTTTTGTAGATAGCCAGTGTTGCAGCCTCTGCAGCCCAATCAGTATAAGACTCACACATAGTGTAAATACAGCATATAATACACAGTGCTATTTGAAAACTACTTTAAAAAGAACATTTATTTTCATCCATACATCTTATACTTGAGAAAATGCATTTCTTAGGACTAAAACTACACAATCTTTGAAGGGAGGAGAGAGTCTTATTTCACTGCGTTTGTACTGCTGTGTATGTGACACATGAAACTTTGCACTTTTAACTTTTTATTGTTTTTATGAAACCGCACCCTCAAAGCGTTACAGTATGATCGAGGTAAATATGTTTCTGCTGTACAGTTGTACTTTAGCAAAAAAAATTCTACTTGGAAAAACTTTTTTTCCCCATCCATAAAATATACAAGAAAAATTGCATGCATGCATATCAAACGAGTAAAAATGTGATGTTGATGTCACTTACTTGAATTCTAAAGAGATTTTCAGAGAAAAAGTGTTTTCCTTCTACAAGCCAAAAAGTGAGTATTTTTGATTGCATTGTTGTTTGATAAAGGATAATTGTTCAAAATATCACTATTTAATACTACACTACCATATAATACATAATGCAGACTAAACAGCAGCAACAGTATATTGTTTCTATTACGTGACTGATTTAATTATTTGATATGCTCGTAATGCAGGATTAATTTTGTAAAAAAATAAAAAATGTAGGCAATGCGAGGATTATACGCAATAGACTAATTGTGATTTACTTCTAAACAGATTGGATTATTCTTTAATAATGTAACAGTGCAAACACATGTACATTTTTATTTGTTTTAAAGGGGACATAACACACAGTTTCTGCCTGGTTAAATAATGTAATATTCAATATGCAAATACAATATTGCTTTAAGTGTGTGAAATCAATTTAAAATTTAAATTACATTTAAAAATATTTAAAAACTGAAAATGATATAACCAATATATATATGTTTCAAATTCTTCTTGGAAAAGAAAACATAACTTCAACTTCTGAAAGTGACCAGCAGTGTTTTAGCATTACATAAAAAGTAGTGTCATAAATCTGAAAATGTAAATGTAATCAATGTAAACAATCAAAAAAACAAAATTAATTAATTAATTAATTAATTAATTAAAGAATGCCAATATTGAAATACCAAAAACTCTTTGCTCAACTTGGAATATATAGTTATATCAACCTAAAACATCAAGAACATCCAGGTAAACAAAAACACCTGAAACTAGGGGTGGACGATTATTTACTTTTGTTATATTACTTTATCGTTGTTATTAAAAATAAGAACTATAAATAATAGGACAAATACAATAAAAAAACAAAGATACAAGTGAAATAAACGGTGCTTTAAGTCTTTCAGGTAGGCCTACATTAGATATATTTAACAGTAGCATTCAATTAAAGGGGTCATATGATGCTACATGCACGTTTACAAATTGTTTGATCTGAAATGTGTGTTGGCAGTGTGTACACAAACACCCTATAATGATAAAAATCCACCCAGTATTATTATTATTTTTTTTAATCTGCTCAAATCTTTACCGCTTTCTCAAATCGAGCCGATCTCAGATGCCTGTCTGTGTGACGTCACACAGAC